TGATGAGTGCTTATATACCCAAGGTTACTTATGCAGTTAAATGCATCTCTGGATCAGAGTCGCTGCACTTTTTTTGTGCTGATTATATTTTAATCTTGGTCCTCCAAGTGGATGTAACTTGGCTTTAGACTTGATTAGTTTTTGGAGGCCATCTGTTACTATCCAAAAATGATTCATTATAAAGGTCATGTAAATTTGGATTTTCGAAAGTTGCTGCTTGCTAGGCACCCTCCACAAACAGTTTGGCAAAGTAGGTTGATAATGGTCATATCTGTGGGGAAAGGTCACTGGTACTTTGGTTATTTAGCCATATTCATAAAAAATAAAAGTAAAACTATATAAATTGTATAGTTTGGATAATTTATAACATTAAACTTGTGATTTTAATATCACACTGAAGGTTCAGCTGTACTCATTTATTTTATTGTTTAACACCAGTGGTATGGATAAAAGACTTAAAGGGGTGGTAGTGTTATTTTTTAATTTATTTGGTACTGTATAACACCTGATTAAATGCAGTGTATGCATTTTGGGGACTCTATGTTAATTTGTAAAAGCTATTAAAAGTTCAGCAAGAAAGGAAATTTGTGCTTCCTTGTTGAATGTTAAATTATTTTACTTTGCATTTTATATAAGAGTACAAATTAAAACTGAGCCATCAAACTGCAATAAATCAACAGTAGTGTTTCATTTTAAAAACCTTTTTGTACTGTACATAGATTTGTTCAATAAAACATTGTCTTTGTTGTTAATATTAAGTGATCTTGTTATCTTTTGAAAATCTACCTGATGTAAACAACCCCAATATTTACCCATTGCAATACCTGTTGGGTAAGTGGTGTGATAATATATTGCATAATGTCCATATAAAACTACAATCTGAACATCAGAAGAGCTGTTTATATGAATGGAAATCCAAGAAACAATAGACTGTTGTGCAGATTTAATCCCTAGGTGTGGTGCATAGTATTGAAAAATGGTACTGCATATAATGAGTTGGGTTATATTAATCAGTTAGGCTCGTGTAAGATTCTCTTGCCTGCTTGCAGAGAGTTAAAGGTTTGTTAAACAACTAAAAGAGGTTAGGCAAAACTAAGATACAGGTTAAGTCCTTGATAAACCAGTAGGGAAGCAGTTATTAGGAAACGCTCCCTACTGGCTCAGTCTAATCTAAGCATGATTTACTCCTGTCAAGATTAAATATAGGATGAAAGGGTGGGGACTAAACTTCAAAAAAGCTCTCCATGAGGATGGGGAGGCCTGTCAATGCAATGTCAGTAGAATCTCTCTGGGGAGTGAGGAAAGATGTAGGGATATGGATCATGCTGCTGATGGATCTGCCTTCTGCCCTGAAGCCAAAGATAGAAGTTGCTCCATTGTGGGAATCTTTACCAAAGTTTACAAGACCTAATTATGGATTAAGAGAAGCATTTGAACAATTTTTAAAATTTCTTTGCTATGCTATGCTGTATATGTTTAGCTGAGGGGTTGCTTTGCTGACAAAAGTCATTTTTATGAAGCAGCTGATATAATCACATTTGAAATAATCCAAGTGGTATCGTCCAGCTATGAAGAAAATAGTATCTTCTCACTGCTTAAATGTTAATCCTTTGGAGCAGTAAATTCTGAAAGGGTTAAAAAGTATCTTCCTAGTTTTACTTCCAGCAGAATTCATGCAAACTACTATCCTATCATTTAAAACAGTCATTTCTTTCTAAGGGGAAAAGATTTAATGCATTTAGTCTAACACTAGTATCAGGCTGTTTTATAAAGGTGTAGCACTGGGAAAGTAGTGAACTTGTAATACAAGAATGTGAGACGCGACACACAAAACTGGCGAACGAATTGAATATTTATTTTCTTTAAAGGTCTGGATTACAAAATATTTCCTCCAATATATCCACACCAAAAAAAAAAAAGATTCTTGGTAGGCTGTGCACCCCAGTTATGGAACTTCAGCAATTTCTGAGAGTTGCAATTTAATCTTTTTAAACTAATACTCAGCCCATCAGGCATGTCACTGGAGATATGTTTTTCTTCTCACAGATGCTTTTCTTCCAGACTTTCTCGATCTTAAAAACGTTGATTACAAATGATAATCCATAGCAAAATGTCGAATTGTGATTTCCATGTAATTTAAGATCTTAAATTTTTTATTTGCTCCTTGTTTCACATAATACTGATACTACCCGTAACAAAGAAGTGGGGCTGTCAGGTATAAGGACGATGCATCCTGTACATTGGATATTATGCATATGTATTATGTGAAACGCTTATCAGAATTGTCATGCAAATATTTAGTTAACTTAATTTGTGCCTACTTCATTTTGCAGTAAAACACCAAAAGCTACAATGTACCTTGGGTTCTTAGTTCTCTGAAAGTAGAATTTCAGAAATCAGCAGGCACCCTGTGATGAGAAGTTCAGTAAATTTTTCTCACTTTTAACCAGCATAAGTTTTTGTTTTGTTTTGTTTTTCCTTGTCATTTACCTATTTAACAGATTAGGAGCGTTGTAAAGTGTAATTGAAAACTAGCATGAGGGTTGCTATTGAGAGTTCCAGACTGTATGGGGCAAAAGGGGATTTTGGAAACCTGGGGAGATGCAAAGGTGGTAGGGTTCTCAGGGAGTGGACCTCTTTGCCACTAGTAAGGTAGTAGTTGGATGCGGAGGTTAAGGAATGTTGCAACAGAGCTGTCAGTTGTAGCTCAGAGAGGAGAGAAATGGCTTTGAATAGACTACATTTGGTACCATGTAAACAGCAAGCCAGACTAGAATTCCTTATATGAGGGTGAAAAATTTTGACTAAAAAATACACTGAACATTGGAATCAAGAGGGCAGATAAAAATGGAAGCTATGAAAAATTTAACAAAAATTACATCGGAAGGGTTATTACAGTAACAAAGCTGGTGGAATCTTCCAGACAATACTTTACCAAGCTTTAATTTAGTGTGTAAGGAGAGTCAACATCCAGTGTTTCAGCCCATAAACTGATACCGTTGACAACTGATATGTAAAACAAGCTCTGGAGAAATTCCATATAGGGAAACAGTAATAATGAGCATGCTAATGTAAACCCAAGTGTGATTTAAATATTTGCCAGTGTTATATACTAAAATTTTGGAACTAAGCCAGCTGTGCCAAATTTTAAGTGCAGTGCTTGCTTGCCCATATGACTGAAATGGGTGGTGATCTGTATTTTATTGTTTCAATAATGTTAATGTCCAGTGTGCTGTGCTGTTTCAAAATGGCAAAGCTTATTCTCTTGTCTGAGTTGAAGTGGATAATTTCGTTCCCAAACTTAGTGCTAAATGGATGTGGTAGGACTAAATCTGTCACTCATACACCTATGCATCTTACTTGATGTCTCGGGAGGTGGGAAGGGATTGTACACATTTGACCAAAGGTAATGTTTGGGACCTCCCTTTTATTCTCATGAATTGGTATCTGTAAGTCCATCTCTTCTCTATCAGTGTTTGGCCTTTATACTGTTAACAGAAGTAAGGAACAGTTAACTGTTCAACCAGATACAAATTGGAATTAAAGCAGTGCAAATTCTAGTTATTCTTAAAAGTACAGCTGTACTTGAGTTTCAACACATTTGGAAAATTATTAGCCTGTAGAAACAAGGAGTTCTAACATAACTGTTTCACCTTGCGAAATGCAACTTTCCATTCTTGGTCAGTGGCTATTTTTTTAATGGAAAGTTTGTGTAAAATCCTTGTAGCCAATTTTCAGTTATGGGAATATGGAAAATAAATATTTTTATACTGTTAAAAAGAGAAAAGGTTAAAAGCCTGCCAAAAAACAAACTAAAGTTAGTTACTTGGTAATAGAGTTGTTTATAAGAAATAGTGCTTTTGCTTCCATTTAAAACATATTTAAATAGTTATAAACACTAGAAAAAATATTTCTAAAAATATTTTTAATTGATTTGATTGAAGTACAATCCTTTACCAAAAATGTCCTGTATCAAAGGTGAGAAATGTATGGATGTAACAATATCAGTTCACTTAGTTGCCAGGAACTCCAGAAGTGTTTGAATGATACAATATTCAGAACTGGTTTTTGCAGTGACTACACAAATCTTAACAAGGAGCAGTTAAATGCCAGTATTACTAAGCATAGACTATAGTTGAAATATTTTTGATGTGCAATAATCTAATACAATCTTGAATGTACAAGGTTCAGTTTAATCATCAGGAAACGCGATAATCAGATTCTCAATATAATCCATTTCTTCTGAATCTGTCCCTTCACATTATAGAGCAAAAATATTTTCCATAATATAGAACTGCTGTTGAAACCCACTCTATCATAGTCTTAAAAGTTGCATAGCAGTTCACTTTGCATGTATGCTGGGTAAATTGCAATTTAAAATAATCCCCCTTTGACACTACTTTAGCTGAATTAAGTGTAAACTTAAGTGAAGATACTACCTAGCAAATGCTATTGTATTTATTTTTATCCTTGCATTTCAGCTGCTCATAAACTTACCAGACACTTTGCTTAAGGAAGAATTTCCTTCTGCCGTCACCTTTCTCTGACTTGAATTTGCAAGGACAAAAGCCATTTTCCTGTTCAACTGTTGTGATGTTCAGACTGAAGTTGCAAGCTTCCCACGTGATAGTTTAATAGTCTTGTAAGCAGCTAGAAGAATCTAAAATCTGCTTTTTCCTGTTCTCTGTGTACAATCAGTATTTTCTGACCTTCTGGGTACCACCACATTCCTAGTAATTTTAAGATAGAATTTAGACTATCAGACATTTCCAACTTTTTTATCAGTCGTTTTTAAATAAAAGGGGAAAGATTGCTTTGTCTAACTAAGCTCAAGATTAGGATCTAGTCTATAAAAGGCTGTTTGTTCAGAAATGGATATAGAGTTAGAGTAGTATTGTGTGATGATGAAGATATATCTTTTGTGTAAATTTATGGTAATAAATACCTTTATACCACTCTGGCT